CGGGCTCCGGCAGCGCTCGGTGGGGGCGGGCAGGCTCCGGCAGCGCGGCGCTCGGTGGGGGGGGCGGCGCGGGGCGCGGCGCTTGGGGGGGGGGTTCCGGCGGCGCTCGGCGGGGGGGCGCTCAGCGGAGCAGCGCTTTTTTTGCTGCTTGGGGCAGCAAAAAAGTTAGAGCCGACCCTGCCTGCCATGCAATCCATCCCATAAGTAGAGGGCAATAATCATGTAAAAGGGAAACAAACACAGAACATTATTGTTCCCGTACTTGTGGGGCCACGGTCCCTCTGTTGTCGGATTAGATCTAATGCCAGTCACTGAACAGCCTTAAGGTTACAATAAATGAGACGTGACATTGAAGGAACAAGACAGATTATCCACATACCAACAGAGATTTAGAGCTGATTTATAAGGCAGACAAGTGTTCATAACAGACAATAAGGGCCAGATCCTAGCTGGTGTCAATCAGTGCTGCTCCATTAATATCAATGGGTCAGCTCCCCAGTGGATATGGCTGTCTCTTTACACCAGATGTTTATTTGGCCCTTATTTGTCTGCTATTGCAAGGGGGGTGCTGAATGTTAAGGGCCACCACCCTCACAGCTGAGCCAGGAAATGGCTATTTTTTAGAAGCAGGATATTTACATGTGCTGGTCTCCAAACAGCTCACAGTTTGTCCATCCTTGACCTTTGTGATGATTTTTTTGTGCTGGACCACATGGGGCACGGACCCTTCTGCCGGCACCAGCGGGTGTTAGCGCCCCCTTGTCCGCCTTGCTGTGTTTCTGTGACTGCTGCAACATCTCGCAGGCTCTGGCAAAGTGATGCCTCCATGTCCCAATCTGCGGGTCGCCTCCTAGAGACCAGCCCTGGGAACTGCACTGGGGAGATTATACAGGTTACGCCGGCGTTTATGTGCAGTGATGGGAACCCCAAAGGGTGTGTCCCCCCTGCTGCCCCCTGCTGGAGTGGACGAGCCCTGCTCTGTGTGTGTGTATGTGTGTGTCCCTGCTGCCCCATGCTGGAGTGGACAAGCCCGGCTGTGTGTGTGTGTGTGTGTGTGTGTGTGTGTGTGTGTGTGTCGTTGGGACTGGAATAATTACTGTTCATAAGAAATGGGCCCCCAAATCCCCTAGATTGTTTGCAAATCCCTCCCCTGTTTGTAGCTCTCCTGATGACTCCTACAAAGGGAAGTTACACATATGTACATGGAGTAGCGATTTCTTACATGAGAAGTTCCATGAGGACCTGTTATTCCCATAAGAATACAGTAGGCTGGTAAAAAAAAATAATTCCTGAACTATTTTTTGATGTAAAATTGGGTTTGTCAAAACAAAAATTTCATAGCAACTGTCGGCTTCCCTAGAAAATCTTCCATTTTTTGTGGGGAAACTGCAAACCCAAAACTGAAAATATGGCCCAAAACTGAATCGTTTTTGGTTTTTGGTTGTTTTCAGCCATGTGTGCTTGTGTTTTGAGCTGAGGATTATTTCTTTTTTTGGCTGAAAATGGGATCAATTTTCAGGTTTTACAACAAAAAGTCAAGGTTATCTGCGGGGAAACCCTCCATTTCCGGCTGCTCTAGAAACTCACTTTCGTCTCCGTCATGCGAACACAGGGAGATTGTGGAATCCCTATCACTGGAGGTTTTTAAGAACAGGCTGACAAACATGTTAGGGGTCGTCCAGGTTCACTTGACCAGTGCAGGGGTCGATGACCTCTCAAAGTCCCGTTCAGCCGCACATTTCTGTGATTTCCATAATCCCAAATTCCCAATGCCTCCATGTCAATAAAATAGAGACTGGGACTCTCAAGGGTGCTAAGGAGAAGACTAAAACAGGCTCAGATGTCCCTTCCGGCTCAGTCTGGTGGTGGATGCAATGTGTGTTCAGGCTACCAGCAGCTTAGCTGATCCCTGGGCGAAATGGACAAGTTGGGAATGCAGGGAAGAGAGAAATGGGGCTGTTCCTTTCCCCTCCCATCCCCCACCCACACACACACTGCGATGCAGAATCCAAGGCAGGAAAATACCTTGTTCTCCTCCTGCTATGAAGACGGGGATGGGTTCCACCTTAGCCATCACCCCAGGGATCTCCACAGGTAAAAGGAGCTCTCTCCAGTTTGAGCTGAAGAGTCAGGCTCGCTAGCTGGGGCAGGGGCACACACATGCCCCCTGACCTTTGGTGTAACACACCCTTCCTGAGTGGGTTATAGAGACGCCCTGGAATGCAAGCTGATGCACTGCCCGGTGATGCCCCATGTTGGTGCTGGAGCTGGCAGGAAAACAACCCCTATCTTTGAAACTTTCTCCCTACAAATTTCATTAAAAAAAAGGTCTGATTTTATTTCCCTGATGAAAACCGTGACAGTGGGGTCAGAAACAAGGATTTCTCTGCCCAGAGCTGGGTGAACAATGAGCCAGAGCACAGCTGGCCTGGCACGTGTTCTCCAGCTGCTCGGAGAACAGATGGGCTGGAGATGCCCTTACATCTGACTCATTGGTCTCCATGTCAACTGAAGTCAGGACAAGCAGTAAAGGGCGTAAGCTGCAGCCAGGGAGATTCAGGTTAGATATTAGGGAAAACTTTCTAACTCCCAGGGGAGTGAAGCTCTGAAATAGGCTCCCAAAGGAGGTTGTGGAGTCCCCATCACTGGAGATTTTTGAAAACCTGCCAGGGCTGATCTAGGTCTAGATTTACTTGGTCTCTGCCTCAGCGCAGGGGGCTGGACTTGATGACCTCTCAAGTTCCCTTCCAGCCCCACATTTCTGTGCCTCTATAACCCCTTCCAGATGCCCTTAGCAGAACTGCCCCCGACCCCACACACCTTCTGTGGCCACGGAGAACCATTGATCTCCGGCCTCTGTATAACGGCCCGTCACAGCTTTGCAGTCTGTTCCCAAGGCCCCCCTCAGTCTTCCCTTCTCAAGACGAAACTTACCCAGTTTTTGTAACCTTTCCTCGCGGGTCAGGTTTTCTAAACCTTCCTCTCCTCTGGGCTCTTTCCTCTCCCGTCCTTCTGTCTGTCCCATTCTCCACCCCGCCCCCCATCTCTGCCTTTCTCTCTCCCTCTCTCAGGGCCTCTCCAGCACAGGACTGGCAAATGGATTCTGAAAAGGGCTCGGAGTATCGCACCGTCCCAGTTGGAAGGACTCTGTCTCTGGGATGAGACCAAACAGCTGCGCTCCTTGTTCATCCCATATTACCTCACCTTGGCCTTCTCACCTCTGCTTCCCCAGCTGCTCAACGCCCCTCCCTGAAGGCTCAAACCACTCCATGGGGACTAGGTCCCCAGGCAGAGGTTCCTGAAGCTGCCTAGGGGATTTGGATGCCGTTCGGTCATTTGCTCGTGTCAAGGCTACTTCCCCACTCTGAACTTTAGGGTACAGATGTGGGGGCCTGCATGAAAACTTCTAAGCTTAACTACCAGCTTAGATCTGGTCCGCTGCCACCACTCCCAATGTGCTAATTCCCTTCC